AGCGAGAGAGAGAGAGAGAGAGAGAGAGAGAGAGAGAGAAAGAGAGTGAGAGAGAAAGGAAGTGTTAGAGACAAAAAGAAAGAGAGAGAGAGAAAGTTTTAGAGAAAGGAACAAAAAGTTTGTTTTCAAACTAAACGAAACTCACGAATTCTTGGTGCGGTCAGTCTGTCCGAGACGTCTAATCGGGAGTTGTGGTTTTTTGAGTCGTGAAAGCAGAAACAAATTTTATATAAATACCATTTCTGTTTGGTTTCGTAATTATCAAAACTTACAAAACTAAAAAAAAATAATAAAAAAGGGAATGTTGCTTAGGTAGTGGCTGACGTTGATGGGTGATCACAATCCTAGGTTAACGATTAGTCTAATAATTATTAAGTATATTAGTCTATTGATTCATAAATAATGCAATGAACTATAAGTAGTACTGTGTGTTTATGTCCAATTTCACGTGAATATAACCAGCATTATTCCTCATTAAATATGTTTCAAACTATATTGCAAATCATTATTTACGCCGTGTTCACGAATCTCCGTTAAACAAATGAAACTAAACAAAGGTGAAGTCCTTGTTCTTTATATATTTCCTGATGGTTTCAGTAGTGGATCAGTTCGAATCGGAGCTGTGTTATTGAACCGAGTCGTTTTCTCGATTTTTCTTCTTTTTTCCCTTCTTACGTGTATAATCGTACATATTTAGATATGCGCGAGAAACAGAGAGCAAAAGCGAGAGAGAGAGAGAGAGGAAGAGAGAGAGAGAGAGAGTGAAAGAAAGAATGTAAAAGAGAATAAGATTGGTGCTAGTTTCGCTTGTACCACGTGCAAACTGAAGACACGATGAAACGTCTTAAGAAAAAAGGCCAGCCCGAGAAATACATTTAACAAGAGAGGCCCCTCGACGAAGGGATAACTATCACCCTCCAATATTGAGCGATTATTATTTTCTTCGGGATAATTGAAACATTTCTCCGTCTGTTTTTTAACCATTTTCTTCCGTGTTGCAATATACAGTTTCAGTTTTCGCCAGCGTGTCCGAAAACTTTTTAATTAGGGCTCGTAGAGAAAAAAGAGAGAGAAAGAGAACAAGAAAGAATGCGTGAGCGTGTGCGTGCGTGAGTTTGCAGTTGCCACGGTTAGGTTTGTTTGAATTTTCACGAGTCATTATTTCTGTTGGGGGAAAGCAAAAGGAAGATAGAGAAAAAAAGAAAAATTAAACGAACCAAGGAAGAAGTCTCATGTGTAAAGTCTGCAACGAAATCGCTTTATAGTTGCTGATGTATTTTTCTTTTGATCTTTATCATAGGAAACCGAGAAAACTCTTCGTTAGAAATGGTGTGAATAGAAAATCTGATAGTTGTCATTGAGTTTTTAGCAAATTCTTTAATAGAGGGGGAGTGAAAGAGAGCGAGAGGAACATAGAAAGAAAGGTGTGTGCGTGTGTGCGTGTGTGTGTGTGCGTGTGTGTGTAAGAGAGGGGGAGAGGGTGTGTAAAAAGGGAGAGAAAGAGAGAGACGAAAAACACCGCGCCGAAAATCGTATATCATCACACGTTTTTGCTGTCTTCGAAATACTTGCGTTTTCTTTCTTTCTTTATTATTATTATTATTATTATTATTATTATTATTATTATTATTATTATTATTAATATTATTTTTTAAACGAGTATATCGATCCTTCGCCCTTTTGAACTTGCGTGTGACAGCCGATAGCGACAATTAACAAACAAAAAAAAAGTAAAACGAAGTCTCTAATGAAACGCAAAAGAAAAAGTACTGTATCGAATTACGTTATAGAATAAAGTAAATTGTTCTTATTTCAGTATCACGTTATCGATGCTCCTCTATATATAAATAATATATATATTATATAAATATATATATTTTTTTCTTTAGTGAAAATTGTACATTATCCGTCGGAGAGAGAGCGAGAGAGAGAGAGAGAGAGAGAGTTAGGTGAGCAAAAAAGTAAAGCAAAGAAAAGAAAAGGGAAAAACAACAGCGAGGTTGAAGTTCTGATAATGACTTTGGTCGGCCGGCGGTGACTCGCGTAGCCATTTTGCCGTGACTTTCAACAGAACACTTTAAAACATTAACGTTTGTGGGACAATATTATGTGTGTACAGAGAGTGAGACTTATCGGTCGTCACAATTTTTCAACTTTTTGTAATAATCGTCGTGCGAAGAAATGTTATAAATAAAAATCGTATTGTTTCAATAGAACTACGAGGATATTGACATTGTTGAACGCTTTTACATCATCTTACGTACACGCTATGACTACTATCGGGATCATACACATATCGCGTGATCCCTTTCCTCTTCTCTTTTTTTGTTTATAATTATAAATATAAATATATATATTTTTTTTCTGTTCAAGAATGTTCAGATTAAGCATTGTAATTTAAGCGAACATAGAGTCAAGGCTGCGGAGAACATTTTGTACTTCCAAATAAATATGACTGGGGACCGTTTCCGTCGTCCTTCACGCAACGCCATGTTGTATATTAACAATAACTACCATGTTTATTGAAATCATACGATTGTTATTTGACGTTCTGCTATCTCTATTTTTTTTGTTTTGTTTTCTTTCTCTTCATCGATGCATCTGATATTGAAAGATCCTGACGGCTGTGAGAAAGTCTCGCCCCTTCTCCTCCCACCCCACCCACCACACGCTTGCATGCCGGTTGTTGTTGTTGCTGTTGTTGTTGTTATCGTTTCGTTGCGGCGAAATAAAAAGAGAAGTAATTTTTGTTCTCATGCGCGTCTTTTTCGAGAGAAGAGTGTTGGGGATGATGGAGAAGGTACGCACACGCCGAGATTGTCACGTAATATCGACAGGAAAAGTACGGTTGCCTTCAAGCTCTCATCCTATTTTAGGCATAGCATATTTTTCTAAGATGTAACGCGACCCCTCGGGGTGCGGTAATACCCCGAAACTTGTACATCAATACCACTCCTCCCTCACGGACTTTCAAAAGGAATGTCTCTTCCATGAGTGAAAAACGAAATTTCAATTTTTTATTTTTGATAAATTAATCTAGTTCAAGAAGCCCGCAGATGACAGCGTTGGTACCGCTGCACGTTTCCTGTGAGAGAACATGATCAACCGCTTCTATTTTTTCGCTCTATTTTCAAATACAAATTCAAGCTTTCTAAAAAAAGGAAAATTCAATTTTTATTCTTGGACGAGTCATTCTATCTTGCTAACTTGAAAGTCGCATTTTTAAGTCCTTTAAGGATGGAAGTCTCGTGTAACGTTTTTTGTTTTAAGAAAACTATCAAATCTATTTTTTCGAAGTTTTCTTTCATAGATGCAGGGAAAAATTATATCAAAAATTCAGAAGTTATAATTAAAATATATTTGAACTGAAATATTTTTGAAAAATTGATTCAATCAACCAGTTACACAAGATTACCCCGAATTTGTATCGCCTGAAAATGGGGTGCACGTTTAGGAGTATTACTGATATCATTTTACCTAGTGAAAGAGAGTGACAGAGCAAAGTATGCCACTCACAGAAAGAAAACTGGAGAGAGAGAGAGAGAGAAAGAGAGAGAGAGAGAGAGAGAGTGAATTGGAAGAGTGTAATGGAGAACAATAAAGCAATGAAGGAATGAACGTCAGAGTGAATGGAGGGGAAAAATTACGTTCAAGAAACAGGTGTTGAAATTGAGATCGTGCTTGGTTGACTATGTAAGGACGTAACGATGCTTGTAATTATTACAATTGATATTAGTATGATTAAGCGATTAAAGAGTAACGTCGAGTTTAATATATATATATATATTTAATATATATATATATATATATATATATATATATATATCGTAATAACTAAA